TTACCTACTAAGATGTGACTTTCAAATTCAAACAAACGTCAATAAATGTTAATATCTTCAGTAGTTGTGGTCGATATAAGATGATTACTTTTTAATAATCGAATGAGACTACTTTACTGAGTGCTAATCATAAGATCATAACGAATGTATGAAAAAGATTTGGAAAATTCGAAAAATAACCTAACAGAGAAGAAAATTTTAAAATAAATTTTTTTAATAAAATAAAAAAAAAAAATTTAAACAAATTTTAACAAAACAAAAATATTAAATAAAAAAATTAAATTATAATAGTAACAAAAAAAATGACATCGAAAAAAAAAAATATATGTATATCGAAATAAAAAACATAGAAATAAAAAAAAATTAAAAAAATAATTAAATAAAAAATTAAAAAAAAATTATTTTAAAAATAGTGAATAAATAAAATATTGTCATAACAATATTAAAAACACAAAAAAAGACTAAAAAAAATATTGGAATATATAACCTGAAAATGAAAAAAAATAAATAAAAATGCACATTATTTACGTTTTGTTTTTTTTTTAAATTTCAAAAATTTCAATTTTTATTTATCAACAATTTTCTTTCGTTTTGTGTACAAACAGTCTTCATAAAAATAAAAATATATAATAAAAAAAAAATTAATAATTAAATGAAACATAAATTTTATTAAATCATAGACATAATAATATATGCTGGTTTATTTTTATTTATATATGTATATATATAAAGTAGTAATAGTTATAGCAAAAATATTTTTAAATTATTGTTATTGTATTTGTTGTTGTATTTGTCTTTATCAATTTCTTTTTGTATAGTTTTTTTTTTTACTTCATATCAGTAATATTTTAATAAAAATAATATTTATTTTTTTATATAAAAAAAAAATAAAATTGAGCGAAAATATACAAATTTTATATTTCTTGTTTGGTATTTCTTTTTTCAATTCGTTTTGTTTTTTTTTTAATTCAAAAAATGAATTCGTTATGGTACAAATAAAAAGTTATGTATTTATAAATTATATATAATAAAAATTATGTGTAAAAATAAAATAATTCAATATAAAATGTTTCTTTGCTTCTGTAAACGTCAAAATTTAAGTTTAATTTTTCTTATATGTTTTCAAAATTAAAAAAAATTTCTTTTATATAAGTGTTGCATTTTCAATTCAATGAGTGATTTCTTTTCTATATTTCAACATTTTCTAAATATATTTTTTTTGTGTATGTATATAGATAAATATATTTTTTGTATTTTTTTTTTGTTGCATAAAAAATGTTTACAATTTTTTTTATTTTTCTATGTTCTTTTTTTTTTTTGTTTTGTCTAAAAAAAACTTAAGTTTACTATTTTAAGTGTGTAAAAAAATATATAAATAAACTTTTCAAGTTAAAATAAAAAACTATATATAAGCTGAAAAGTTCATTGCGAGGGTTAAGAGGTCTTGGTTGCTTAATTATTTCGGTTCCTTTAGAGTTTTCAGTTTTTCCTTTTTTTTTTGTTTTTGCTAGCTATGTACTATTTGTATATATTGTAAAGTATTAAAAACGAAAACTATTATAAAAAATAAAAAAAATAAAAATTAATATATAATAAAAATGTTAACTTTAATTTTTACGAGGAATAGGAACGGTTTGTGGGATTTAAATTCTAAATAAATTTGCATTTTTTGTTGTTTATATTTTTTTCTTTAACTGACTTATATATTGTTGTTTGGTGAATGTGTGTTTATGTTTTTTACAGTGTATATGCATGATTTTGTATCTCTGCGGTGTTTCTGTGTAGGAAAAATCTATTTAATATCAACAGTTATTGCTTGATTGCTATGGACTATTTCTTTTGTTGCTGAATGCGTTGTAATTGAAAGAAAATTATTTCAAAAATAAAGTATTTTATAAAACCGAGATTACTATTTACATTACAAAAAAAAAATTAAAGTTATATATTATTATGCTTTCTTTTTTCTTCAAATTTACTCTCTTTATATTATATATATTTATAAGTATAATATAATAATTAATTATAATTATATGTTAATAAGTTCTAAAAAAATATTTATATATAATGAAAGACTTATAGTTTTTAAATTACAGCATTTTTTTTGTTAGTTATACATAATAAATTTATATATATATATATTGATATATAATATTTAATTTTTTTATTAGCTTATATAAATGCTATATACATAAATATCCAAAACTGAAATTTAATTATTTTTAAATAAAAATAACGGCGAGGTGTACTTCATAATAAAAAAAAATTTCTTTATTTTTTTCACTGTTCACTGAATGACAACAGCAACCGCTACACTGTAAAAAAGTCAATAATTGACTTGATATCTATTGCTTAGTAAACAATAAATTATGCTGCTTGCTGTATACATTATTATTATTTTTTTAAAAAAAGCCTATTGAAACCTATAAGCATATTTTGTTTTGTTTCACTTTGTTTAAAGTGTTGCAAGCAGATGTACACTGCAAAAAATAAAGTGAAAAACTTCTTTATATTTTTACTATTTAGTTTAACACCTACACTTGTGTTTTTCTTTTATTTAATATTAATTTAGATATAATGCTTAACGTTTATTTCTACATAAATATAATTCAATTCATAATTGTTACTTAGTCTAATTTATAATAATTAATAATATATCAAACTTTAATTCCAAACGCAATAATTCAGAGACAAAATAGTAACTTCATATATACATTTTATTTAACTTTAAACTTATACATATGTATGTATACAATTTTTATTAGTTATATGTCTCCTTACATATGTATTTTCATAAATATAAATATGTATGTTATGTACTTAAAGCATATAACTATATGTATAGTATATATTTATGTATGTATATATATGTATATATTATATTTAAAAAAAAGTTAAATTTATCTTAATAGCATAAAAAACATCGACAGTTAATCAGTTGAAAAATAGTTTTTCTTTTGCGAAAACACAAAAGAACCAGTAAAAATAACACTGACGCTCCAGTGTTGCCAACCACTACTTTCCAACTTTTTTTTTGTTTAATTTGTATTTGTATTTTTAGTTGTGTTTTAGTAAAAAATATTTGGATTTTTTAGTGTATTTTAAAAATATATGAATATATATAGTTATATATGAATAATTATATATTTTGTATTGACCTACATATATAGCCGTATTCTGATATATATATGCATATATAGTAAGTTTATGTATAGGTTTTTTTAAAGCATATAAAAAGCAAAACAATTTAATATTTATAATCATAATTATAATAATAATAATAATAGTAATAAAAAGTAAAAAGTGTAACAAATTTTTTTATACTTCAAACAAAATCTTTAATAATATTAATAATATATATATAAAAAAAATTAAGGCAAATATATTTGTAAGTAAATATATACTTGTAGAACAATATATGTCCTATAAGACATAAGTTAAAATTTATTTCGAAACTATTATAAATATAAATAATATATATATAATAAATATATATTAAAAATCCAATTAGTAAAATTAATTACATAAGTTACTTTTAAATATTTTAATTATATTTTCTTTATATAACTAGTGTGTATAATAATAATTATAATAAAAAATATAAATATATATATAACGGAAGAAAAAAGAAATCAATATTCATATTTGTTTATCATTAGAAAAATAATATAATTTTTTTTATGTTTTAAAAAAATTGTTCTTATAAGTTTTTAAAACATTTTCCACAAATATTAAATAAAAAAAAGTGTGTATGCAGAGAATTGGTAGACGTTTTTTTAAACCGGCAAAAATACGTTACATTTACAATTCTCATCTTCATTACTTAATATTTTCATTTGTTTTCCATTACGATGCGTTGCTCTTTCGTTGCTCAAAATTACGTTCAAACGTTTCAAAAATTCTTTTCTTCATGTATCTTTTTCCACTTTTTTTTTCAAATAATATAATAAAAATATATAGTTTTCTATATAGAATTATTATTACGAACTACAATTTTTTAACTTCAAATTTTTCTGCAAGTTCTTTTAAAAGACTTGCCAATCTAATTTTTCTCGCAGTGTATGTTCGTCTATTACGAACAAATGAGTTTAGTTTATTAAGCGAATAAGCTATAGTACATTTTTCTCGCTTTATAAGCTATATCTGTTTCTTTTTCGCGCATTTCAAGTATCACAAAATTAAAATAATCAATAATTTTCTAACCCTTAACTATAATTAATATAAGCATAGCAATCTAATAGAACTATATACCTTATGGATTAAACGATATTATTTACCACTAAATTATTATTCAATTTCTTAGTTCCTTATAATTCTAATTTCGTTATTTACTGAATATAGTCGCTCTTAATTATTTATATACATATAATATGTAGTTGCTTACATTATTTATCAATTCTATACCTTTATGTTAAATATATCCAATATATAAATGATAAAATATTGAAGTTCAAGTTAAACTTATTAACTAATTATAAAAGAACAACGGTTGAAAGTTAAATATTATAATAGTTAAACTTTATGTACAATAAATGTATCAATTTATTAATTTTTTGTTGATCAATTGTCAAAATTTCATGTTCTTTATTTATTTAAAAGCAAAATCAAATTTAAACAAAATCAAGTAATTTACATCATAAAAGTTATACAAAATTTATACATAGTAAAAAGTTTATTAAAAATTATTTTGTCCTTCTTAAGTTTTGCATAACTTCAACGTTTATTAAACTTAACTAAAAGCTCATGTGGCGATCCTGCCGCTGCTAATCTTATTTCCCCGGGACCTTCATTCATGATATTTACATTTTATATTCTATATATATCTATATATATTTACAAATATTATTTATACAATACATAGTAATAGTTAACTTCATTATCGTTTTCTTTTCTTCTTCTTCATATTTAACTTAAGCTCTTCGAGTTTGAAAACTGCACTTACTTCTAATTCAGCATTTTTTTCACTGATCTGTTATCAATCCCGATGTATGATGAGATGTGGTTTTAAATCGTGTCGCTTTCTCAGTTGTTCTAACAAAATTAACTTTTGCTCCTGACGCTTTTTTAACTGTTCCATTAAAACTGCACGTTGCTCTGCGAGTCGTCTATCTTCTACCACCAGCGCATCACACAATTTTGCTGCTTCACGTAGTATATTCACTTTTGGGGCACGCTCTTTATCTTTAATGCTTGGTATTTGTTTCTTCAGAGCTTCGAATAAATTCTTTAAGCCAATACGACGTTGACGTTCCATATCGTTATGTAAATTACGTTTCTCAATTGTATCGGCAGCTTCATCCAAACTATAATGACGTCTGAGCGCACCATTGGCAGTACCATTAATGCTTGTCGTCGTTGTGCTGACACTACCGTTCTTTGACTTCTTACCACGATATTTTTTATTAGGTGGTAATGAGTAGTCAGCATTGTTTGATGTATTGATCAAAACATTACCATTTACACGTTTGCGTGTTTTATCGTTAATGATATTAATAGGTGCAGTAGTACCATCGGAGAGTACAGTCATAAGCAGTTGTGAAGGGTAACGTGAATTAGCCAGTGATTTGACTGGACTGTTACTGCTTGCTGGTGTATAGGGATATTCAACAGAACCGCTACGACGTGGTGGTATTGTTCTGAGACCGTTTACTGTTTTCACCATACGATTTGAGATTTTGTATGCAACTTTATTTTGTAACGCGCGACGATCCTTATCGGAAGGATTTGTAGGTAATTTTTTATCACCAATTGTAACGACATCAATTTCTTCATCTAAAATTAAAAAAGAAGAAAGAGAAATTAATTAAAATAACGAAGATATTTTTAGAAAGAAATCTATTGTTTTCATTTTTTTGTGTGTTATTATTTATTTAGCTGTTTAATTATTTGTATATTACTTAGGAAAAAAAAAAGAAATCATTAACATATCTGTAGATATGTAATTTTTTTATTTAATCATTTCTCCACCTACTTGACTCTGTTAAACAGCGTCGGTCTATTTTGTTGCTAAGGTTGCCATTGCAAAAAAAAGTGATAAATAAATAGCACAGCAAATAAATCAAAAACAGATTCTTGGCGCCATTATTTATAATACTAAACATAAATAAAATTTTTTCATATTAGACCTTAGTTGTACTAATAATAGGTATAAAAGATGACAAGAAAAAAAATAAATAAAATAAACAAAAACCTACCATTCAAAGCAGAACAGTTTTATAAATGCTTTTTAACGGTAACAAAAATAAAAAAAAAAAAACGGCAACATAAAATTTTGAAGTCATGCAAATCCTACTTACATTTGTAAATACAATAATAAATTAGTTGGTTATATTTAAAACCCTACGCCACCCCCTATTCAACCATTAGCAACAAAATGACTCACTCAAACCAATTAGAGAAAAAACCGAATCGCAGTAACAACAACAACAGCAATTATTAGAGCCTTTGCAAAAATAAAAAGACGCGCGTGTAAGGCATAAAATATAAAATGTCAATGCTTTAGTTGTTATTGTAATTTTTTTTTGTTTCCTTTATCTGCACTCAAAAGCACTCAACATCACACCATCCAGTAACAAATGCCTCCCAACAAAGCACGAAATCACTCCCAACAAAACATCTCTAACTACTTTTTCTTTCCTTTTCTTCCACTTTTTTTCTATTTTTTATTTTTTATTTAAGTGGGGTGCAGACTATCATACTGGTGTGTCATACGAGTTGCGCTCTCTCTTGCTCAAATTTCTTCTAGCGTCCGAATTTGAACACGTATGACACACAAGAGTAGGCAAAATTTTTGAAGAGTGCTTTTGCGGGGAGTGCTAGGAAAATTTGTGTGTTTAATATAAAATTTTAAAATTGAAAAAATTGATAGTTAACGTATAGGTTGTGCTTTGCTTATAATTGATTATAATTTTGTATATTTTATATATGCCTTTTTTTTGCGATCTTTATATTCACATCTTTGGACATCCCACAAACAGCGATTGCTTTTGTTAACATTCGATGAAAGCATCTAAAAATGCTTTATCTGCATCCATATTCATATTTTTTTTAGGTTTATTGGTCATTAAGCACAGTAGTTAAAATGAAAAGATCAGTAAAGGACCGTAATTAATTTCATTCACTACCTGTAAAATTTCTTAAGAAATTTTACATAAATAGATCATACAAATAATGTATATATATATATATATATAAGAATGTATATATCTTAATTGTTTTTAAAGAAATTTGATCATTTCCATATTTTTGTTAGTTAAAGGTTATTAACATTTAAAATTCTTTTATTTTAATAACAAGTTTTAACAAAGAAAAGCATATGTAGAATACAAAGGATTAAATCTTAAATTTGGGTTATTAATTAATTGTTATTACGACCAATTTTCAATACGTTTTTTTATTACTGGGCTTAGATCATAAATTTAACGATGTTTATATATAGATGTTTTTTAAAAAAAATTTTACTTAAAATCATCGTTTATAAATTGAAATAAAAGAAAATAAAATATTTAATAAATTAAATAAAATATTTAATATATTACATAAAATATTTAATTGTATTTTAATTTTTTATAAGAATTTTATGTAAAAATTAAATTTTTTAACTAAAATGCAATTAAATATTTAACACAAATTTATAAGTGTAATTTTAATAATAATAAATAATAATAATATTAAATACATTAATAATAAAATAATAAAAAAACATATTAAATTCATATTAAAATTTTACATAGATCACCTGCTCACAATAA